CAGCTGTTATATTTCTTGTTGCCAAGGTTTTAACGTCGCAGCAGCATCTGCTATCACCTTTCCAAATGATTTTTTTGAAGTCAAATTGGTACATTCATTTTATTTCATGACTTAGCAATTGCATCAAGGACAAATTATAGTTTACAGGGCTATATCAAGGTTTTGTCTGCACATCTAGGAGGATCCTAGGACTGGAGCCACACGATTACAGAGACACAAGTTATTCTAACAGTGGCCTAGTTATAAAAATTGCATGTTTTCTACAAAATCCTGTTCTTCAATTGCTACAAAAAAATATAGAAAACACGAATATCCCCAGTACATGACATTAACTTTGATCAATACCATGTTTGGTACTTTGGCTCACCCTTCCTTCCTTCCTTACAGGTGAACTAGGCAAAAGAAAAGGGGCGAGGTAAAGCAATTGGCCAATAGTACCAAGGCACGTTGTTCAGATCAAGGGCATGGTGAACACTGATATTCTTCACAGAATCTATAAGTCATTAAAATTCCTATATCCTGTCCTTACAAGAAAAAAAGAACAGACAAAGGCACAACAGGAATCTATTCTCTTGACAGCGATTTAATAATAAAAGAAAATGTTCTGAGCTATTCTCATTACTGCTTGGGAACTTTAATCTTGTGGACTTAGTTTCTGTGCATGAAAACCTTCAGATCCCTTTATAAGCTACAGAAAGTGAAGGGAATACTTGTAGTTTAATTATACACTTAAACATTTTGGAGAGTCAGACCCACTTTTGAATAGTGTTGTGATGTCTAAATGAAGGTCTTTTCAAGTAATACAAGGCACTGTCTCAACATACTGATAGTTTGTCACAGGACATTCATCTGTATTTTGTAGAGAATGGCAAATCTGAGGAGGAAAGAAATATTTTCCCATATTATATGTTCTCTCTACTGATATTAATAGCTTGTGAAAAATGTCAGTCAGATTTTCTGTTATTGCCTTTAATGATCATGCTGTTTATTCATCAGTACATCAAATATAAGCCCCATGTCATAGAGTCAAACCCTCTTCCATTCTTAAAGCAAAAACATGCTTTAAGATCATCACCCTGTTGTGGACTTTACTGGTTGCTTTGCCCTCTCTTTCAAATAGAACTTCATCTTAATGAAGTAGAGATGGAATTCACTCTGTAAATCAACAACTGACCAAAGGGATAGGAGGTAACAGAGCAAGAAATTAATTTTGTCTTTCTCCACTCTCTTCCATCAGCTATTTGGAACTCTTCTGGATGACCTTTGGAAGCCTAGACATTTTAAGGAGAATCAGAGCTCCTGCGTATAGGAATCAATCAAAAGACTAATTGGGATGCAAGAGGCAACACTATCCCTCAGAAAAACATGGGTTTATTCCATAGGAAGTGTGAAACTACTTTACAATCTAGTATTTTCTGTAACTCAACACAGAATCTAAGGCCACGTGGCATAGTTTTATATCGCATTGCTAATTACTAAGAAATGTGACCAGTGTACAAGAGAATATGCTTCAGAAAGGTACTGAGAATTGACTAGATTATAAATTGATTTAACTAACTAAAATACTGTTACATTCACTAAGCCTTCTAACTAATATTGGATAATAAACAGGCATTCGTCTATTTTTATTACACTGAAGATAAACAAAGAAAGAAACTCAAAACAAAATAAAATGACCTGCTCAGATGTTAAAACCTTGAACCATAAGCCCTGTTTTTAAGAAAATCATCGTTAGCTGCATATTTTATATGGTAATTGTACATAACCAGTTTATGAATAACAACAGCAGACTTTTTCCCTTCTGATTTCAGTGCCACTTGAGCTATGCAGATTTCAAAAAGCTTATGAATATAAAGATAAACAGAATTGTTCTGAACATCTGTAAGCAAAATATGAAAAGATGTTTCATACTGAATGAACATCCTGGGTTGTCTAATGCTGGCCAAAAATGGTGTATTTATGCATTAGGCTGAAGCACCAAAATAGCTCCAAATCCCTCACACACTCCAGAATGCCTTTTCAGATTTTCATCTGTACCGTTGTCACCACAAAATGTAAAAATAATTTTCCAGCACAGTATTCAGAAGCATCAAAGTAACTCAATTATCTCTTAAACATCAATTTAGCAAGGCAATACCACGTCAGCTGAGGGGAGAATCTTCAAATGACCACATCTGAACAGAGCAAAGCTAATCTCACCCTTTCCAGCGGAATCCTGACTTTTCTACCTCCCCAACGGAGGGGTGCATCATCCTGCTCTTCAAGGCTTATGAGGTTGGAGGTTTGTCCTTAAAGGATTAAGTTTTCATGGAGAACCAACAGAGGATTTTAATAGTACAGCCATCACTTGGGTGCTGGAAGAAAATTGGTGTCCCCTCACATACTAGGTCCACAGATCTAGGTCCACTAGATCCACATACCTCAATACTAGGTCCACAGATCACTCTTCCTTCCCAGTGAAGTCCACCACATGACATGGCAGACAATTAGAACACCACAGATGTGAAGAATGGGCCTGTATTCACTTAAAGCAACACAACTCTTGAAAGTGGCAATCACACAGTGCATAACTGAAGTCTACTATTTCATCAGAACTGTTCTTCCCAGTAAAAACTAAGGCAACTGGAAACAGTCAGATGGCAGCGTCTTAGGGGAGCTTGTGAGAGTCTCTTTAAAGAGACTTCCAAAAAGTACCTTCAAAGATGAAAAAAAAAAAGCTGCCAAAAAAAATTCTGAATGAAATAGGGCTAGAGGAAGTTAAGTAGGAAAAAAATAGTATGCAGAAATCAGTAAATTCTCCAACTCAGCTCAGCTGCCCAACTAGGGAAAAGAAATGTGTAGCACATACACATCCCATTTATGTTCACACAGACAAGGCTATGAAATATGTGCTTATGCTTCTGGATATCTCTGAGCAAAGAATCCTCCAGTGTCCAGCGTCTGGAGGCATATAAACACCCGTCATGCAAATGTGTAGAAAAACAAACACTAGAAAAATAACCTCAGCTGTGTTTTTGCACTACAAATCTAACTTAAAAAACTAGCGCAGTCAGATGGCAGTATCTTAGGGGAGCTTGTGAGAGTTCTCTTTAAAGAGACTTCCAAAAAGTACATTCAAAGATGAAAAAAAAAAGCTGCCAAAAAAAATTCTGAATGAAATAGGGCTAGAGGAAGTTAAGTAGGAAAAAAATAGTATGCAGAAATCAGTAAATTCTCCAACTCAGCTCAGCTGCCCAACTAGGGAAAAGAAATGTGTAGCACATACACATCCCATTTATGTTCACACAGACAAGGCTATGAAATATGTGCTTATGCTTCTGGATATCTCTGAGCAAAGAATCCTCCAGTGTCCAGCGTCTGGAGGCATATAAACACCCGTCATGCAAATGTGTAGAAAAACAAACACTAGAAAAATAACCTCAGCTGTGTTTTTGCACTACAAATCTAACTTAAAAAACTAGCACAAAATAGACTTCAAAAATTTTTCCCCTTTCTTTATTCTAGAATTCTTACTATTTAATTACCATTTTTATTTTTGCTCACTATTGATAAAATACAACACATTAAGTAGCTACAAAAAGCTTTCAAAGTATCTCAATGAAACATAAAGCTCAAAATACTATGGAGTTATTCTGAAATTTAAAACCAATTCTTACTATTTAATTACCATTTTTATTTTTGCTCTCTATTGATAAAATACAACACATTAAGTAGCTACAAAAAGCTTTCAAAGTATCTCAATGAAACATAAAGCTCAAAATACTATGGAGTTATTCTGAAATTTAAAACCAGCCAATACTGCAAATATCTATACGCTAAACACTTGCACTCAAAAGCATGCCAACTGCTATATGTTACCACCAGAAATTCTCCCTAATCTATATGTTCTCTTCAGCATTTATAAGGCGTTTTCTAACTAGTACAGTATTGTCTATAAAACAGAGGCATTTGGACAATTCCTCTAACTTTCCATCAGCCCTGAATTGTTCGGGCAGTTGGACTAGATGACTCTTGTAGGTCTCTTCCAACTGAAATAGCCTGTTCTATTCTATAGGACCTTAAAACACCTCTTTTCACCTTTTTCAGGTCTGTTCTATTCTATATGACCTTAAAACACCTCTTTTCACCTTTTTCACTATTTCCAGAAAGTTTCCACTTTTTTGGATGTCCGCAGCACTTCTGCATAGCTGCTAAAGTGTCCATTATCTGTTGGTGCCACTGAACTTTTTCCACTCTTTCTATCAGGCCTATGTGACAGATTGTCAGGGAGAACAGTGTATCAACTTCAGTGTTTGGCATAAAAAGTGTTAACAAGGAAATAAATGAAAAGAAAACCTCCAAGCTGTTCTCCACCAGCCAGTACAGGAAAGCAAGAATTTGCTTTAACAGCAACATTAGTCAGTTGGCTGCCAGTGGTTCTATGTTTTAGATCACAGAAAGAAATTGCATTGGGTTATTAGTACTGTAGAAGGATTAGTGTAAGAGTGCAATGAAAAATAAATGCAAGGGTTCAGCATGGAAATGATAGGATGTCGTGCATTGATCTGTATAAAAATTTAACAAATTATAAATAATAAGGCGAATGAGAAATTTAGACTTCTTCACACAACCTCTCGGTTAAATGGAAAAATGAAGAATTACTGTGTGATTTCTGATTTTTGTTCATACTCAGACAAAAGTAAAACCCAAACTTTTTCTAGATCAGCATTTTCTACGGCACACATTTGCATGATTTGAAACAGAATTCATTTCCTGAAAAAAGTCTTTTTTCTTTTTCCTCAGAATATTTGTACATACATTAACTCATTAATGATTAGGAGATAACAACGGGATGGGCACACCATAGGTTTCATTACAGTTTAGGGTGCAAGAGCAATACCAGGGTTGACCAAATACCAAATCTCTTTAGTCACTGCAGTCACCCATTTTATTCCTTAATATCCCTCATAATCTGAGAGGATTCTACTCAAAATCCTTAAAAACCAAAGGGAGAGACTTACCTGAACAGACCTCTTTATAGGTAGGATTTGGAGTATGCCCTCCTGCGTAACCCACTTGAGTGGAGTAGACTCCCTTCTGCCTCCAAAACTTCCTCTCAGCTCCCCAGAAACAGCCCATACCTGAATATTGCACAAAATACATATTGTTATGTCAAAATCTGCTCAATACTAAATCAGTCATTCACACATTAATTGATACCATCCATAGTGGAAGCAACACCTATAACCAGTCTACGCTGGTCAAATGTTTCCCAAGATTATGCACAGAGTAACTATTCTGAGAAATCCATTCTGCATCACAGCACAACTCAAATAAAGCTTTATTTATGCTGCTGAACATTAACATCCCACAGAGGACAAACCCTACAAGCGTTCAAAGGCCCAAACGAGGAGAATTCTCATTCACATTAAAAAAAAAAGTAACTTAAAAGGCAATTGCACTATTTGTACAGCACCATTTTTACTTTAGTTGATTAGCAAGCTGTCAAAACACAATAATTTGTATTAATGGCAAACAGTTATTTAATTTTCTGCTTTCAGGCATATGCCATCTTTAAAGGTGGCAGTAATAATGTATTAAATTATATGCTATACAGGAGGAAAAATGCTTTCATTTAACAATTTATGCATGCAGGTATGTGAGGCTCAGACAAAATTTCGGTAGTAGTCATTCTCCCACGTGGCCAGTCATCAAAGGACACCAGACTGCCACCAGATGTGGATTAGCAAAACTCTCCTGGCAACAGGAATCGAGCAAATTGTGTGAAAGTCAGGGGGAAGGAACAAACAAGACTAGCAATTTCAATTCTCCGATAGCTTAAATAGTTAAGAAACTATTAAGTTTCTTAATAGTTAAGAGAGAGAAGGACTCTCTAAAGCTGAAATACGTCATGTACACTCTAGTAGTGTTTAGTTTATCCTTGGCTAAGAGCAACATATTTTCTCTTTCAGTGATAACATACTTCCTTTTATTATTCCCTTACTAAAACGTTTGAAATAAAGGCAGTAAAAATAAGCTAAATATTAAATATACTTAGAAATCAGTGATCCATGATGGGTTTCTGGGTTTTCTATTGATAACACTGCTGATATGACAGGTTAAAAAATTACAGGTATGTTCCTTCAAAGTACAGCTAGAACAAAGCAGTCCCTTCTATCAACTATGAAGGCTCACAAACACATCTCTTTTCTTTGAAACTTCAGAGATTAACTTCAAACTAAAGTTGTAATGGATGAAAAATTACAGAAGTAATGACCCAAATTTCTCCTTCTACTCCATGTGCTCAAGCAAGCCCCATAAACTAGGAGGGCAGCCTGCTCCTGGAGACCATGGAAAGAGGCAGGCATCTCCCGAGTTCAGATAAAGGCCCAACTTCAAAGACAAAGCAGAAATGCTCATTCTTTTCCTATTTATTTCAAGAATTTTAATGCTCAATAAATCCCTTTCTGCACTGAAAATCTGAAATTACTGATCATCAGGGTAGTAGTCACGGAGTCTCCTCGATCAATAACTATTCTTTAGGATTCTCTGCTCAATAGCCCTCTCTGACCTGTTGAGTTGACCTGGTGACCTACGTCCTCATCAGGGTTTCTTTCACTTTCTCTTCTTCCAGTTTATGTCTGAATTCATTCTGCCCTCCTTCCTCTGCGATACAGCCCTTTTATTCTCTTGGTGAACCTTTCTCATCGTTTCTCAAGTATCTGGCACCTTGCACAAACCATAAATCCTCACATTCACGGGAACAGATAAAATTGAAATCTTTGTCATAATAAAACAACCTGGTAGTAAAGGGACATAATTTACAACAATACAAGACTAAATTGCTTTCCCAGTATTAACACATTCAGTGGTTGATGTTTGTTATTCTGCTAAAGTGGTGCCACGTTCTACAGAGAAATTGTCACAAGGAGAGAAATATTAACAATAAACCTCCTCCCATAATATTCCAGAGTTAAGACACATCAGCTCACGGAAACCCCTTTCTGCAGAGCACTGGTTGCTGTAAGCCAAGTTTAACACGAACAATGATTACTAAAATAGGGAAATTACTAAAACAGGGATCTGATCAATGCTTAGAAATACTTAAAGGGTGGGTTTCAAGAGGATGGGGCCAGTGTTTTTTCAGTAGTGCCCAGGGATAGGACAAGAGGAAATGGGCACAAACTTGAATGTAATTTCCACCTAAACATGAGGAAAAACTTCTTTGCTGTGAGGGTGGCAGAGCCCTGGAAGAGGCTGCCCAGGGAGGTGGTTGAGTCTCCTTCTCTGGAGACATTCAAACCCCACCTGGACACGTTCCTGTGCAACCTGCTCTGGGTGGACCTGTTTTGGCAGGGGGTTGGACTGGATGATCACCAGAGGTCCCTTCCAACCCCATATCATTGTGTGATTCTGTGATTCTGTGAAATAATCTCAGTTCAAGACTTCACACGCTCTTGTAGTACATAAAAGTTTGTCTATTGATTAGTACTCTAGTAAGAAAACCAAAGAAATAAATAAATGAAATAATTAATTAAATAAATCTCAGAGGAAAAAAATAGTAGGAAAAGAAACATAAAAGCAAAATAAGCCACCAGTATTATAATTTGAAAATAGAAAACATGAATGTGATTTTAAACTACTCATGAAATAATTTGCATAATCCTCAGTAGTGGTGAAGTGAGTGTGGCTTTAGAATTAGATAGAGCTTCCGGAGGCATTCCTAAGAGAAAGAAAAAAAAAAGGAAATACTGGGAAACATAGTCACGTTCCCAGAAAATGTATTATTTGAACATAATGGATATTGCAGAAGAGTGTTTAAACACTGAAGATATTTGTCACTTTTTAATTGCTAATTTGTAAAACAAAAACTATTCTTTTAGTGACGGGTTTTGACTGACTCTTAATTGGAATTTCAAAAGGTATTTAAAGAAATTTTTTTTGCTTTTGAACTTCAAACCCAAACAGATTCAAATGGGAATCTTTAAAGGTTCATTCATCTCTATAAATAATATTAAGCATACGATTTGGGAATAAACACTAGTACCCCTATTCCTTTCTAGCATCCGCATCCATTTCCTCACACTATTCTCTTTATAAGTCCCTATGCATATATATCCTCTGAGCAACTCTTTTTGTACACAGCCTTATGCTCAGCCAAGGAACATGTGTTTCCATAGGCAACCCAGATAATTTGCATATTTCTAAAAAATAGTTAGCATAAGCTGAAGTATTTTTGTAAAATAATGAAAGCAAAGCGTCACCCTGATAAGAGAGATCGCATTGTAAAAGATAATCTGTAATAATTTTGAAGTATTCAGAGAGAAACTGAGCAGAATTGACCCCCAGGTGTTTACTTTCTGGTGAGATGAAGAGCATTAAAGATTGCATCAACCATATTGACTTGGTCTCCATCAACTGCAACAGGAACTTATACATTCAGGGACTAATTTATTTGCCTAAATTGAGCCATCCAGTGTCATTTGAGATACCTTAGGATATCCACAACACCTATCTACAAAAGGCTGACTTAAATGACACAGGATTTGGGAGAGAAGCATGCCTTTCTCAAAAGGCATCCTGAGGCCAGAGAAAACGCTTCTGGACATCTCAAATGTAGCTGTTGGCATGTTTTAAGGCGAAAGAAACACACCCATACCCCAGATGCAGACATTAAAAAAACCTGAACATCTTTGAATCTGTATTTGAATCAAATCTCCCAAAACATAGTGATTTCTGTCTGAAAGTTGCCTGTTTCTCTCCCACAACTCTAAAGAGCATGACTAGTTCAGATGCAGAAGTCTATGCTACAGCATAAACTAGATGAATCATAAGCAAAGTTACTAATTAAATAGTCATCTATCCTCATAATAACATTTATTTTGTGTACTGCATGGAATAGCCATCACGCAGAACCAGAAAACAGATTGGAAAACTTGTTTGAAATTTATGCAATATTGAAGATGCTCTCTACTCCTACAAGAAAACGCATGGTCCTGCAAAGGAAACATTTACTCCCCTTTCTTCTGATCCCCTTCTCCAACCTCCATTCCTATCACATCTTTGAATAACACACAGTTTTCACAAAGGTTCCCTGATGTAAATTCTTATTTATGATTCTGTTATGCAAATCAGCACAAGCAGCACATTTGCATGAGAAGGGCATTCCTGCTCCAAACTAAAACCTCACAAGATGCACCCATTCTGCACTAATTAAAGTCTATTGAGTTCTGAGCTCCAGAGCTACTAAAAGGAGGCTGATGCTTCAGGGACTCTTTCCACTTCAAGAAATTCGCAGTATTATTTTTATATATATGAGCTGATTTTCACATTTTCTCTAAAACTTGTACACGTACGTGTTATTTCATTTTGTGGAGCATTTTTTTATAATGCCTTTGTCCTTCACCTTTGTGGTACATCCTTCTCCACCGGGCATCAGGTGCACCACAACCTGACTTTCTGCCTTCCTACCCAACGACCTTTCGCTCCTGCCAGCTTTATTTAGGAACGTTCCCTCTCCCCTGCCCTCCCAGCAGCCCAACAGGACATCCAGAAGACTCTTTTTTTTTTGTCACATTCTGAAGAATGAATGCATTATTTTAGTGGCGTGCCAAGCCTTTCCTGGCCCACCGCCTGCAATCCCTCCACCCACACTTCAAGGCACTTTTCCATGCAGCAGATTAAGAAGCTGTTCCCGCGCCAGGTTGATAGCAACGCTTCGCTGCAGAAGATGAACTGCAAAGGATGCGGCTCCTGCTCCTCCTTCTGTTAACAGGATTTTCCAATTTATGATTCCACTAAGTAGGGGGAAATGTCACTTTTAAATATATATACTCAGAAAAAATAAAACGTGCTGGTAGGCTGAGAGAACAAAGAGCAACGTGCCCTGGAAACCTCTTCCCTAACCTCAGATCACAGCAAGGAGAGGGAGAGGATCTCTCCAAAGCTCAGGAGCGCACTAGACAGAGGAGACCAGCCCTTGTGCCAGCTTATGTTCTGAAACCCTAAAAGCAATGATTCTGCCAGCTGCTCAAATGCTACGGGTCCCCAGCCAAAAGGAGCTGGGGGCACAGGCTGCTCCTATACATTGAGGCAGTAAAGGACGGCCAAGAGAACATCCCACCGGCCTACCTCCACGCGG